AATGTAACTTAACAATTCTAGTAGATCCTATGTACTAGACACTGTACTAAGCACTTAACATATCTTAATTCATTTGTTATACAAAGAGACTTTCAAAGTATTATTGTTATCTTTGTTTTACAGATGAGTACATTAAAGAACAGGGAAATATACTTACCCAAGGTGATACAATTAGCAAGAGGTGGGACCTGGATTCAAACCCAGGTAAGTCTGGGTCCAGAGGACTTGCTTGAAACCATTACAGAAGCTGTTTGTCCATTGCAGGCCAGAGTTGTAGCTCAATAGTATGGTAAAGCATGTCTGTTCTCTATGATAAAAGTGTTCACTGCAGGGGTAATATGTGTGTTGTATGTTTTCACGCTGGGAAATATTTATGTATATTGTGGTTTCTGCACTATAGTTTATGTGTATTGTAGTTCTGCACTGTTTTATGATGCATTTCTGTGCCTTATACAAGTAACCTATGTGTTCACAGGCATGACTGAGAACTGGTAGCGCATCTAAATGTCACAGGTACTGAATATAGGTTAAGTCTGTGTCCTGAAGGGTTTGTCTATGCATTTAGAGTGAGTTTCCGTGTTCAGCAATGTTTGTGTGAGGTGTGAAGAAAAATGTAATATGCATGGGAGAATCTGTGCATTTTGGTAGAGTTTTGTGCATAGTTGGGTATATCTTGTTTTATAGGAAGCAGTATGAACAGTGACTTAGTCTACATGCTTTGGGGTGAATATGAACCTCATATGGCAAATGGTTTAATGTGTATAGGGGAACATGTTCCCACTGTGTAGCCACTGTAAGAAGAGAGTTTTGTGAAATTAATATGTATGACAAGTATACACTGTAACATAATGTTTACCATTGTAGAGGTGGACTATTGTAGTGCAGAAGCTATTTGTATGTTGTAGGCTGCATCTGTGTTTTGGAATGAGAGAAGATATTGTGAAACACATGTGTGACTGTGCACTAAGAATCAAGTCTGAATACCTTAGGTGCTGCTTAGTGCATCTGTTGTAGAGCAACTCAGTGTGGTGTAGGGCCAAGTGGAAGGCTGTGTCTCAGGATTAGTGGAGGTATATTTTATTGACACAGGGTCCCAGTATGCATTATGAGGTTACTCTGTGGTTTGAGGATGAGACCTAGATGTTGTAGGACAAATGGGTGCACTATGGGGCAAGTATTTGTACTTGTTTGCTGGGAAATGAAGTGTGTTTGCTGGGAAATGAATGGGTGCATTGCAGGACAAGTTTTTGCATTCTGTCACAATTCTATGTATCAGGGTATTGCATATGTACTATACAATGTACTGCTGCATTCTGAGTTGAGTTGTGGGACAGGCTTAACTGAGTGCCACGGGGAGAGTGTCTCATGGGTGAGTCTGTAAATCTGTGTAATGTGGAGTGAGTCCATGTCATGTTGATCTGTGTGCCATGGGGTGAGCCTGTCTGTTGTGAGGGAGTCTTTGTGTGATGAGATGGGTCTTTAAAAGCTTTCATGAGTTTATGTTCTAGAGGCAAGTCTACTTTCCATGGAGATACTGTGTGCTGTAGAACAAGTCTGTGTGCTGTGGGCAGACTCTAAGTCTGTGCTGTGGTGCTTTCACAAGGGTCAATGTGATGTGAGGAGAGTCTGTGCACCCAGGCAAAAGTCTCAGCTAGGGCTTCACTAGTGGAACATAAGGAAAGTCATGTGTCAAGAGGAAAACCAGTGTGCTGTGGGAGGACCTGTGCTATACCTATGTGTGGTGGGAGTATCTGGGTTTGTGAGGAAAGTCTGTGTGCTGTGGGGAGAATCTGTGTGTGGTGAGGTGAGGTGAATCTGGATGCTCTGTGTACCCTGGGAAGGTTCAGTGTGATGTGGGGTCAATGTATGATGCAGGATCATCTGTGTCTCACACATAGAGTTTTATGGTGGCATGAGTCTCTGTCATGTGGGACCTGTCAGTGTCCCTTAGGTGGGTCTCGTGTTGGGGAGAACCTCCGTGACTCTGGGAAAGTCTAGTGATATAAGGTCTGTCTGGGTGCTGTGGGCAAGTCTTTTTGTTGTAGTGCTGCTCGTCAGTGTGCCTTGGGATGTGTCTGTGTGCTGTGGCCTAAGTCTGTGTGTAGAGGGAAGAGTCTGTTTGCTACAGCAGTCAATGTGTGTTTCTTATTTGGCCAATGTGCATATTTAGAGAGCGAGCTATACTCTGCTAGTTTTAAGACGGTATCCAGGCAAATCTCTTAGTATCTACAAATGATAATAAATAATATTTTTATAATGGTTACTATGTATCTGATACAGTTCTAAAGGTGCTATTATTACCCCCATCCCCCATCCTACATCTGAGCAATCTAAGGCACAGAAAAATTAAGTAATTGTCCCCCAAGTTTATTTAAATAAAAAGTGGTGGAGGTTTGAAATGACGTGGTCTGTTTCCTGTACCCACACTATTAGGGATTTCCTTCAGGTTCTGAGGGCAAATATTGGAAAGACTTCATGGTCACTGATAAAAATATTGAGAGCAGCTAATTTGGAAGGAAGAAAATGAGAATGTTTTAAAGCATTCTGAAAATTTAAAAGAAAAAGGCAAATGCTGTGTGTGTAATGATGATGGCAGTTTAGCACAGAAAAACCGACGTCATGTCTGCAGAATAACTCCTCAGCCACTGCAGGCCTCCAAGACTTCTCCCTTGACCCCACTGTGGCAGCCTCATTCTGCTACTGCAGATTGCCGATGTGCATGCCCTGGCAAGCTACCGTTGCCAGGGAAACCCGCCTCTGGTCATAAACAAATCACAGCCCAAGGCAGCAAATCAGGAAACTACTGAGACTATGGCTAGGAACCAAAAGAGTCCTTAATTGGGGCTGTAGCACTCACACCCAAACACCACCCTTCATTTTTCTCCCAAATTAGTAAAGGCTAGAGGTCAAGGTCAAAAGTCAATAGCAAAGGGTGGCTATGTTGGGGGCAAAGGGGACAGCAATGGGTAGCAGGTGATTTTTTTAATTGTCAAAGACTTCTGTGAGCAACATTTAACCCATCTCCTACTAAAAGATTCTGTGCTTTATATCTTGAGGCTTCCATCTACAGTGAAAAGAGGTAGACCACTGGAATATATTTCTATCTAGAAAAGGTACTGGCAGTGGTGGCAAGGATCAGGACTTCCCTAGCTCCTTTAAATTCCTAGATCAGACTACTGCCAGCAATAGGCCGGTAAATATTTATTTCTTTTCCTCATATATTTCTTACATTTTGTTCTCACATCATTCTAGAAAATTCCAGGAACTGAATCCAGACAGCTTTAACTCTCCAAATACCTGAGGAGTAGAAAAAGAGGTTGAAGGAGGAACCATAGAGGTAGCACTGATCCCTGGGATATCTGTTTTAAACACATATTTGGAGTGTCAGCTGTGTCTAAGAGGAATAACACATCTGGAACAGAAGTTTTATGTATTTGTATTTCTTCATTTAATTTGTAAAAAACACACGACAAAGATTAAAAAAATTAAACATTTAAAATGAAAAGTATCCATTTTTGTAAACCACTAAGCTAAACTGCATGTGCCTAGGATTCTAGAAAGGCATAAGCACAAACATGATGCTTTAGCATGATGCCCACACGCTTGAAGAAGGTAGGAGTACTATTGTGGAATGTCACCATCTTGGGTAGAGAGAAAATGGCCGACTCGTGGAAAGCTACACCATATCTAATAAGGGAACAGTTGTTGCCATTTCAAATCAGTGGAAGAAGATTGGATTATTCAATAAATGATGCTGATACAATTGGTGACCTATTTGGAAAAAACACAAAATTAGATACTACTTTATACCATATACCAAAATTAATGCTAAATAGATTCAAGAGTTAACTGTAAAAAATGAAACAATTACATGACTAGAGAAAAAAAAAACATGTGACTATGCTCAGCAGAGCAAATAAACAGATCACAATATCAAAAATTGACAGATGTTGATAGTTAAAAATATAAAACTGCAAAATATAAAACAAAACATCACCATAAGTAAAAACAACCAATAGGCAAACAGCTGGAACATAATATTTTTATCACACATGATTTAAAAATCAAGTGATATGTATTGGGGCAAAGGGAGAAACCTTAAACTGCTTCATACCATTTGATCCAGGAATTCCATGTCTATGAATTTATCCTGGGGGAAAAACAGAAAAACATTCAGAGATGTATATGGAAAGATATACCTTTAATTATTTATAACAGTAAAAATTATACATATAAATAGTCAATAATGGGAGAGTTAAGACACATATAATTAAAAGTTATGCACTCAAAACATTCTTGTGAAATATGGAAAATATAGGAAATTGCTTATATGTTTAATTAACACAGTTAAACATTACATATACATATGATCTTCATTTTCCATAAAAATATAATCTTTATTCATTTATTTGCATATGCTCAAGGAAAGACTTACAGTAATTATCTCAGTTCTAGGGTTATGGGTAATTTCTATATCATGAGATTTTTCACAAATTTTCTACAATTAGCATGATGATTTTATAATAATAGGGAAAACATAATCTTAATAACATATTTTAACACGCGTATAAAAGCACTGGCATACAGAAATGAAAGCCTAGGAACAAAGACAACAGTAAACAAAACCTACCACTGTAAACTAATGGAAGATCATGCAAAATGAGCTCATTAAGTCTAAAGATTGACTACAGCATTATTTTTATGTTAATGAAGATAGAATTTCTTATACAAGATGGAGTCCTGGAAAATTTTCTTCACTACACCAGAGAATGGTCACATGTCCCTGGATGCGTCACTCTCTTTGCCGCAGTGCTGTGCTTGATGCCCCTCCCTTTGCCTTCAACATACTCTCTCCCTTCTCCCCTGCAAAACATGCTACCAGCATGTTTTCAACTTTGAAAAATGGCCCATATTCTGGATGTTCTTTTAAGCTACTTCATTCTCATGTTTTCTCTGATTGCTGCTTTCTCATCTAACTCAAAATCAATCAATCTTATCTTTTTTCTTTTCACCTGTTCAACTGTCAAAACAAGCTGAATTCCAAAGAAATTAAAGAAGCACCATTTTACCTTTTTCTTTTTTTTTTCAGAAACAGATATGCAAAAGCATATCCATTTGCAGGCTTATTTCCGAAATAAACATAGAAGCCTTGTTGAGAGGCATCTCTGCTATCCTTCTCTCATCCCTCTTCAGAAAAAAAGAAGGACCAAGAGCATTCTTTTACTGCACAAATTGAAGTTCGAAAATCCAAATGCACTTTTAAATGAAGGCATAGTTCAAATATTCATTATTTCTTTTTCATGATATTTCAACCGAAATTCAAATGTTTATTTTTCCCATTCAACACAGTTCATCTCTCACATGAAGCACTCTGTTAAATACTATCATAGACTGCTCTTTCCCTCATTTTCTTTCCCATACAGATATCAAGTCACACAATTTTCTTAATTATAAAGAAATAAGGCATAGTATTCTATTATCTATTACAAAATAATATTTATTCGTGCAAAATAATATTTCTTCATTACAAAATAATATTTCCACATACTGAGAAAGAAACAGGAATCATAACCCATTTGTCACATCTAATCCAAACATCATTAGGCTGAGATATCATTCTGAATGCAATTTTTCATTTAAGTAACATCTTCATTGAATCTTATTTTGGGAAATATCTTACAAGGATTAACAAGGAGAAGTTTCTATATTTCCTTCTAGTAATTCATTCACTGTTTAAAAAGCAAGCTCTAAGCTAGAGAAGTGATCATGAAATATGTATAATATAATCCATTTTTGTAATGCTACTGACTACAATCAGAAATTCCTACACAGTCTGTGTTACTCTATTCCATAAAGGCATGTCACTTGCTTGTTTAAAAAAAAAAAAAAAACAAGGCCTGGAATGCATTTGAGAAAATATTTTGCAGCTACTTACCAGCTTCATGCTCTCTCTCTCTCTTCACCAGCTCTGAGGCTGTCGCACTGAAGGGATGAGGGAAAGCAGCAGCGCAACAGCCACTTGAAAATGAGCTGTGCTCTGAAGAAGGGATTAGCCCTGAGGAAAGAACTAAAATGCCTTCAGATTATTTTCAAAAATGCTCTCAAAACATAAAATCATAAAATATATCACATGCTAAAATATACATGCTCATCATAGAAGGAATTTAATAGCTGAACTTCTAATCTAAAATACACTTAAATTGTCTTGATTTCCAGTGAAACCCCTACAAGACCATGGGCTTTTGGCTCTCCCGTCTCCTAGCAACAGTATAATTATTTTCCCTGCAGTAGTCCTACTAGGCATCAGAGAACACTGAAAAGGTCTAGTCTCCAATGATGAGCATTACTAGTTTGTTGTTCAATATATTTTCCCTAGGTAAATAATAAAGAAAGTCAGGAATTCAATAATAAGGTCGTCAGATGAAGAATTCTGATTCAAAGGACATTCCACAGTGAAAGACAGAGACGGTACCCAGCTTTAGTGCAATGCTGTCAGTAGACCCCTGCTCTAACATGAATGTGTTTAATGCCACCGAGCTGTACACTTACAGTAGTTAAAATGATCAATGTTACGTGATATGTAAAAGAAGAGAAAGAGAACCATTCATAAACCCTGCAAATATATGCTGGATCTCAGCACACTGGGCTCAGGATTATAAAAGTGAATAAAGCATAGTCCAACCCCATATAAAAGTTCATAATCTAATAATGTGTACATGTTGCAATATAGAAATATTTTATTTATTTATCTTTCATTAAATGTGGGTAACATTTATAATCAGAGTTGTTATATGATATGCCCTGATATATTATTGGACTCCCAGTGGGTAGAAGAAGTAAAGAATTATAAATTTAACTTTTAATATATAATATATAATTATACATCTCATGTGATAATGTATATTTACTCTTTAGGGTAGTTTTTATAATATTTTTACTTTTATTTTCACAAACTCATCCATTCAGAATTATACAATGTTGCACAATTTGTTTTTAGAAATTTCACCAGATAGGAAATATAACCAAATTCAGTATCTTTATACTAAAAGAAAGTAGAAAGAAAAAGATTGGTACCAATCATTGTTCATTTATTATATGTCTGTTTTATGTTTTATGTTTTTCATTTTTTTATGTTTTTCATTTATTATATGTACTGTTTCATTTATTATATGTACTGTTCTATGTACCAGATAATTAAGTATTATCATAACCATTATACAGCTAAGAAAACCAAGATTAAGTAACAGAAAAAAAGATACCAATATTTATTACCTAAAGCCCATGATTCTAATTGCCTCATTCCATCACAAACATTAGAGTTCTTCTGATATCACCTGTAGTGTTAATTTTGTTAAATGGAAATTACAGAGTCCTATTTCCAAAAATTCTTATCTTTAAGCTAGGCACAACCCCAGAAATTTGCATTTTTAACAAATGTCACCCTTGGGTGTAACCAGAAAATCTAATTTTTCACATTACTGGAGAAGTAAATTGTAAAACTATGTATCACAGGGAACACATGGACACTGTATGGTTAGAGAAAATGTGTAAATGCATTGATGCAACCACAGTACTCACTATGGGAGAAAGGAGATAAAGGAGATACAGCTAGGGAACCTGAGAAAGTGAAGGGAATCCCAAAGAAATTTTTGGAGACAGATTTGAAATGGAGGTATTAGTATAAACTCATGATTTTCTAAAATATGTACTAAGTCTGTCTACTGAAAGGAAGCAGTGATACCTCAGTGGTAATGAGTATGGCATGCCACTAGTAATGAGTACAGATAATGTCAAGATGTTGATTTTTAAACAGTACTCCCCATGGAAAGAAACCCAGGTTTATTAGAGAAATAGCTGATTCCGTATTTGGCACAGGAAAAGTACAATGTGAGTTTGAAACATCATGTGTCAATCATACAGCAAGGGATCACACACAAACGGATGAGAACCTATCAAATGAGACATAGGAGATGACTTGAAAGGGCTCCAACTAGCCAAATTTAGTACAACTTTAACATTAAAAAGAATAATAGTAGTTAATTATAAAACACTGAATAAAAAGAATTTACAAGCCCATAATATTGGAACAAGAGTGGTGATGGGAGAAAAATATCTTCTTTATAAAAGAATAATAGTTTATATGTTTATAGAGAATGAAATAAAATGTAATACCTGAGTGGGTGGAATGTTTGGAAACAAAATATTCATTAGATTTTAAGGTATTACTCCTAGGTTACAGCTTAATTTCAAAAGAAGGAAAAGTACATTTTCAATGGAGAAATTTGTCATCCACCAACTGAAGCAAGTGATTAAATCTTGTGTTCTCAATAATAAAGCAAATTGAAATTTGCCTCCTAATGTGATTTAATGGGGAGCTCATATCACTTCTTGACAAAAAAATATTTAAACTGAATGTAATCATGAAGAAGCAATCAGATAAATCTAAACTATGAAATATTCTAGAAGATTTAAATTAAATTTAAATTAAAAATTCTCGTTGCAATATTTTAGAAGGGAGGGGGAGCTAGGATATTGTTCTAAATTAAAGAAAATGAGATATGAAAACTGAATGCAATGTGTAGTCCTTGAATAGATCCTGGATAGATAATGAAGCTACAAAAGACATTTTGGGAACAGTTGTGGGATATTTGCTATACAAAGGTAATATTAGAGCAACATAAAATATATTTTAGCATGATGATGCAAGATGGTGGACTTGTTCTGATGAGACAAATGTTGAAGTATTGGGAAATGAAGGACCATAATTTCTTAAAATTTCTCTTTAATAATTGATAAAAAATAATATACACAGATATATAAAACAAATGTAGTAATGATGATGATCAATCAATGTGCATCAAATATATGAAAGTAGGTAGGTGTTCACATTGTTATTCTATAAACTTTTCTGTAGGCTTGAAATACTAAACAAACAAAAAAATTAAAAGGCAAATTCAGAAAACAAAAAAGGAAATCATTTCAGAATGATTAAATTTAAAACTAAAATTCATAGATATTTAAAAGTACTGACAATCAGGACTGTAATCCCTCAATTTTCTCTACTGACCGATTAGCATGAATACTCATATTTATCATGCGCCATCTAGTGGTAAAATCCTGATTTACCATACTAAATGATTTCCAAAGAACACTGATTTTGACAAAAGACCCATAAATATTACCATAATTTTTATTGTAATAAATAAAAACAGTGCTGGCCTTGTAGTGCAGTGGGTTAAGCCTTTGCTTGTGATGCCAGATCCCATATCAGAACACCAGTTCACATTCCAGCTGCTCTGCTTCCAATCTATTTCCCTGGTGCTGGTGCATTTGAGAAAGCAGATGGCTAAATTTCTTGGACCCCTGTACCATGTGGGAGACCCGAAGGAGTTCCTGGATTCCAGCCAGGCCACCATGGTCATTTGGGGAATGAACTCACGGATGGAAGCTTGCTCTCTCTTGCTCTCTTTCTCTCTCTTTCTCTTTCTCTCTCTCTCTCTGTCCCTCTCTCCCTCTCTTCCTCTCTTCCTCTCTTCCTCCCTTCTCCCCTTCCTCCCTTTCTCTCTTTCTCCCTTCCTTTCTCCTTCCTTCCTTCCTTCCTTCCTTCCTTCCTTCCTTCCTTCCTTTCTTTCTCTTTCTTTCCTTTCTTGCTTTCTTTCCTTTCTTTTCATTTCCTTTCCTTCCTTCCTTTCTTCCTTCCTTCCTTCCTTCCTCTCTCTCTTTTACCCTCCCTTTCAAATAAAATAACTTTTTAAAATAAACAAATATAAGTGTTTTGTGTTATTATGTACGAATATAGTTAAAATGTAGTTCCTTTAATTTTTAGAAAGCATTTATTCTTAGTTATAGGGAAATATCTCTCCAGATTATTCATGACAACCTCACACTTGTTCACATAGGCCTTTACCTAGAATAGAGTTAATCCTCTGTGTATAAAGTTAAATGAAAATAGATCTTAGTAAAAAAAAGAGACTGGGAACAGGAGAGGGAAGAGGACGAGAGGCAGGAGTGCGGTGGGGAGGGTGGGTATTGTGGGGAGAATTAATATGTCCTTAAAGTTGTATTTATGAAATGCACGCAAATTTTTAAAAATTATTAAAAAAAACAACATAGGAAACTAGAAAATATAAAAACACATAGAAACAACATGTTCCTGAATTAACATCAGGTCATAGAAGAAATCAAAAGGGAAATCAAAAAATTCCTTGAAACAAATAGAAGATGACAACACAACATACCAAAACTAATGGGATAAGTGAAAACATTAAGAGGAAAGTTTATAGCAATTAATTCCTACATCGAGAAACTGGGGGGCTGGTGCTGTAGTGTAGCAGGTAAAGCCGCAGCCTGCAGTGCCAGCATCCCATATGGGCGCTGGTTCAACTCCCAGCTGCTCCACTTCCGATCCAGCTCTGTGCTATGGCCTGGGAAAGCAGTAGAAGACGGCCCAAGCCCTTGGGCCCCTGCACCTGCGTGGCAGACCCAGAAGAAGCTCCAGGCTCCTGGCTTCGGATCAGCACAGCTCCGGCCTTTGTGACCAATTGCAAAGTGAACCAGTGGATAGAAGACCTCTCTCTCTCTCTCTCTGCCTCTCCTTCTCTCTGTGTGTAACTCTAACTTTCAAATAAATAAATAAATCTTTAAAAAAGAAATTGGATATGCATCAAATAAATGATCTAACAACACATCTCAAGGACTTAGAAAAACAAGAAAAAACTAAACTCAAAATTGGTAGGAGGAAAGAAATAATTAAACATAGAAAAAGAAATAAATGAGTTTGAAATTTAAGAAAATATACAAAAGATCAGGTAAATGAAGACCTGTTTTTCAAAAAAAAAATTTAAAAATTGATAAACCATTGGACCAACTAACCAAAAAAAGAAGACCCAAAAAATAAAATCAGACATGAAAAAGGGGATGTTACAACTGATGCCAATGAAATAAACAGAACCATCAGAAATTATTACAAACACCTATATCACAATAAATTGGTAAATCTACAAGAAATGGATAGATTTCAGGAC